TGGCTTCGTGAAAATGCACTGCTTCCAAATCCTGCACATGTAACTGCACAATCCGTCACCCCAAGTTAGCCACTATCACAGCCATCTGGGATATCAACGCAGTGTTATATGTGGCTCAGTGTGGGAGTGACACGTTTAACTTTGTGCCCTTATACTCAACGCGGATTACTCATGAACTGCAGCTAGTCCAAGCACCGCGATGGCCTCCGTCCTGCCCTGAAGTTCTCAGCTGATGAATGTTCGTGAATCCAAACATGCAAGATAACTATTACCGCAATGGCGGCGGATCTCTGTTTTTGAGCGGTTTACTTCCCGAAATGCCCACGGTGATTCAAAACAGGCTGTTACCTTGTGTTGAGATTTAATGGGGTTTTCAAGTGAGCCTACAAGACGAACTATGCGCTGGGCCATCTTCGATCTAAGCCATCTCTCTAGAGGTCATCAGATAAACCGGCGTCAATTCTTATCACAGTTAGCTACGCACTTCACGCTAACAGCGAATACTTCAAAAAGTGGTCTATCTGAGTGGCAGCTATCTATGCCCTGTAGGCACGAGCATAAACCGTCGCTTCTTTATGCGAGCTGATGTGCATCCTTGAAAGCAATGTGTTAAACGGCTCAAGTGTAGCCCTCATCCTTGTCAAGAGATATACATCAGACTCAACCGCGAAACTAGAATCTCAAGGTCAGGTGTTAGTAAAATATTTTTTGCCCTTGGTTCCCTGCTGCGTGTCTGTCATTATTGCACACCAATAAACCGCTTATTAAGAGGGATTTCTCAGTAGCCGCACTCTCACCCTCTCTGTTCCTTACCTAATCGACTAAGCTTGCTTGACATCAGAGCTTTCACGGATTCATGGATTGATACACAGGATCGAGGCTATTGCCCAAGTTTCCCGGGTCGGTTTTGTTCTTGTCAGTCAGTGGCTGTCGTTCGCCTGAAAGGCACAAGTGAAAAAAGGGTGTAGCACTGCTCTTTATGTTCTCAGCGCGGGGCAGTATGCTTGCCAGCGCGAGGATTCGCATAAATAAGCGTCTAACAGTGCTTTAAACGGTTCTAGGAGGAGCGTAGACAACTGTCGGAGGAAGGTCATTCCACGCACCTACTACCCGAAATTAGAAAAATTTTTGTCTAATGAATGTGTGTGCTCTGAGCTTGAAAATTTTCTTACTATG